TCTTGAAAAGTATTTATTGCTATTTTTAAAATTAGAAGTTAAAGCCATAAAACTATGTCGTCACTTCTAAAGTAGAATTTTTCCATTAAGCTTATGGAGTTAATAACTTTTATCAATTTTTAAAATTTTTTAAAAAATTAGTTTATATAATTTTATGATTCAATACTTTAATTTTTTAAGACAAGGTCTAAATAGACCTAACTTTTTACATACACAAACCAAAAATAGTGGCTATGGTCACATAGTCATTTATTAAAGTCACATAATTTGTTTAATTTTTGTCATAGTTTAATTATTAAAAACAATTTTTAATCAATGAAACAATTAATATTTATTACTGTATTTAACAAATTAAAATTAATTAATAAACATATATTTTTTAATATTATAATTAATTATTTAATAAAAATTTAAAAGTCATAAATTAATAAAAAAAAATAATTAAATTATATGACTATAACAACCGAGCATGTGGCTTTAACCACATCCGAAACCTACTAATCAAAGGAACTATTTGTCGGTGAAAATCCTCGACAGCCTAGCTCTCAAGGTGTACATCAATATGACTTTAAATTTATTACTGCATTTGAGGCTGGAAAGAACATTATACTACCTTTTCCTTGATATCACTGTCTGCTTTGAAACGCTATAAGAATTAAAGCCCTCCAAGAAACATGTGGCGTGTTTGGCTTTAATTCTCTCTGTACATTTGCATGGAAAATAATGAACCTGAAGAGGGCATGAAACACAACGTTAGGTCGTCACAACTGTGTTATATAGTAGCCCTTACCTAAAAAGCACTCCTCAGGACCACTAGCTGCAGCTGAAAATTAGTTATTAACTACGACACTTCCTTCCTGATTACCAAGACAAAGTAGTAGCTAGTCCTGTTTGAAAGAATCTAAAGCTTGTGGTGAGTTTTCCTATAGGACCACTTTCTGCTTCTACTTTTTCCTGGAAAACGAAACATGGTGCCATTAATTCTGATTCTTGATAAGTTTGTTTCATTATTCATGTACCACATCATTCACCAGAATGTGACAACCAGATATGCATGTGAGCAACCAACAAAAACTACGGATATGAATAAGTTCTAGAGTAACTTTTATTTTTTATTTTTTATTTTTTTATCTACCAAACAAGAAATTTAAATTAAGTCACTCTGTTCTGTCAAGAATAGTTCAACTAAAAGTTTAATGTACACTTGATTAATTGTTAATTAATTAATTGAACTTTTAAAATTAACTTTTTTAAGATTAATATTTAGAGAAGGATTGATTTTGTAGTTAGCCGGCGACGACTGAAGAGTTCGAAATGGGTGGCGTGATGTGCATGATAGTGTGATGCATATGACATGTGAAAAAGGGGTTTGGCTTTGGCTCGACAACGAAAAATACCTGAATTCATTGTGTTTGTCTTGAACATGAAAAATGTTTTTGGGTCTACTGTGAACTTTCACCCTCACAAACTAACAATTTTTAGATAAAATTTTTTAAAATAACTCTTATTCTAATCAAAATGTTAGCCGTAATTGACTCTAATGCTTATATATCATTTACAATTATATTTTCTTCTTGATATAATAATTTAGGACGTGAAATCACTCTTTTATAGCTAGTCACGAGGAAATTAAAAAAATTATTGATTAGTAACAGTTTACATACACTAGACTAAATCTATCGACTTGATGCAATTAATCAGTGCTAATTATTGCGATTCTAATTCATTCTTTCATCTTAATTTAAAGCAGTAGTTCGCACTAATTAAATTAATTAATTTCAATCACCAAATGTCTAGCTAGATTAATCTAGATACACTAGAAAGAGATTATTAAAAACTAAATTTTGACAAAGCATTAATTAGTTGCACCATCATTCCACTAGCTAGTTGACTAATTAACTAGTTAAGCAGTCTAATGGTAATACTTTTTTAGTAAAGATAAGATATTTTAAGTTTAAATCATATGAAATATAAATAAAGTGAGTTAAAAAGTGAAAAAAACATTGTTTTTAAATAGACAACTCAAAAAAATAATAAAATAACAAAAACAAAATTCAAAAATAATGTAAAAAAATAATAATAATTGGTACACATTTTAATTTAACACACTCTACAAAACATTTATAAATAAATTATTATTTTAAATTTGAATTCAAAAGAGAAAATTTTCAACTTCAGATTTTAATAGCTAAATAATAGATGTTGATAAGTGTGTTATAGTAAAGTGTATATTAATTATTTTTTCAAAAAATAATGGAAAGGAGATGATCCACTTGTTTGTAATTAGTCTTCAATAATTAGTTAAGTTTCCATTAAGTTAATTTATTGAGGAATGTTAGGTGAGTTTATTTGTCTTTGAGCACATACTTTTCATGTGGGGGCATGTGGAGAGTCAACTAGTCCGAAGGGACGCACGTGGGAAAGTGACCCACATGTGAATTTCTTTGATAATAAAGCAATATGTATCAATCAATAATAATCATGTTGTGTATATAGGTCGCCTAGTTTCATTTCTACATATCATAGGAGAGTGAGAGCCGCATCATTATCACTCATATTTCAAATTATCCCTCATATTTCAAGTCTCCGTTCAATATCATGGGGTTTTTGTGTACCAAACTAAATTTGTGTGTACAAAGACTAATTTCTATTTTTTAGTTAGGTCAAATATAAGTCATCTATATATGTCAAAAATAAGAAATTTATGAGGCGTTATCTGATTTTTTTGAAACTTAAATTTTGATCAATAAATTAGATAGAAAATAATTAATTAAATCATTTGTACTAAAAGTAGAGAGAATTTAGATTGTTAGGAAACGAATTTTGAAATGCAATCAATAAAGTAAACCGATTTAGCCCATATCCCTAGAGAATTTTCACTTAAGCTTGGAAACATGGAAAATTATTGCTTCTCCCACAGGGCTCCCTTTGTAAGCTTCCCATATTTGGATTACCCTAGATATGTTAGGTACATGCCCTTCTCACGAAACCTTTAATGATATATATAGTTCACTGATTAATTAATTAATTAATTGAAATGAGAAAGTGGGAAATGGGAATCACAAATATAGCAATTAATCTTTATAGCATTCCATGTGGCTAGCCAATCTTAATTTGATTAAACTATATAACTATCTTCTTCTTTTTTTATATCTATATTGTCAAATTAACTTATACTAGCTAGCTGAAATAAAGAATGTTTTAGCTATTATAGGTCCTAGGTTATGACTTGATTGATTTCCAACGAATAGAAGTAGAAAAATTGGGAGTAGGTTTAAGCGCCTGATAGACAGAGTTTAGAGCAGAAGAATCAATTTTTTTTTTTAATAAATCAGAATCAAATCCTCACTAAATCTTAATATATTCAGATGTACCAAAAACAAAATATATTCAGAGAAGATTCAAAAGTCAATAATGGCTGTCTTTTTTTTCTTTTTCTTTTTCTTTTATTTATTTATTTTTTTGATAGAAGTAGATAATTAATTAGTGGGAATAGATGTTTTGTTATGAGAGAATATATATATATATATATAGGTGGAAATTTTAGGGGGGCAAGGGAGTCTGAAGGGTTGAATGAAAATGGCTAAGGGACATGGGGAAGGCCAGATTATATATGGTTACAGAAGTGACTGATGAGATATTTATATGCAAAGGCAAAAAGGCTGGAGAGTACACTCTGAGGGGCACATGACCCTTCACAGGGACCCTCAAAATGGAGACAATATTTGGATCATGGTGCTTTCACTTAAAGATTCTGTTTCTTGAAGATGTTAAAGGCATTACTTTGTCAAGAGGCTTTAGGTAATTAGGTAAAGACGCAATCGCTGAAATTACCCCCTTGAAATTATGGATTTTATTTCAGCAATGAATACGTTTTTCTACGGTCTTCTTGAACTGTACGTACAAGGTTTTTTCCCCCTTTTTTTTAAGAACAAAAAACGATGTAACACAAGGATTTCTCAAAAGCTGACTCATCTTAGCTTTATTTTTGTCTAAGTATACTTAATTGTAGAATTCTAATAAAATCAGGCACATCAATGTTAGAATGATCGCACCTTAAACTATATATTATATTTTATTATTTTTATGCATTTTATGTATAATTTATACTTGCTTTCACCCTACAATATTCTATAATAAATTTTCTTCTTCTTCTTTCTACCATCGTAAAAATAATATTACAGCTTAAGTCTTTAACTAAATATCGTTGTTTTGGTTGAAATTATAAATACTGTTACGTGTGCATAAGCTATTTAAAATTTTCTCCTACTAACACTAAGCAAACGTCATCGAGAACAAGTCATTGAAAATTTTGGCATTGAAAGCAATCCATTGGTTAGTTTCTACTTCTTAAAAACCAAATTTTTATTCCTCAAACTTATAATTTTCCATGCTTGATTGTGGTTTAAGTCAACAATCACAATTAGAATATATTCCATCAAATGATGAGGACATGTTCATGTATTTTAAATCAATGACTTAAGAAAAAGAAAGATACTCTACTATAAAAAAAAAACTATTTTTCTCATGAAACATGAAAAACGTAAAAACGTCATTATAAGATAATATTTACTCATTAATTATTTAAATTTTATAATTTTTTTAAAAATATTGTACATAAAATTTTCAAACTTTCAATCATGTCTGTCCAATAAAAATTAAAGAGAAATTAATGCAATATCTTGAGATGACGAGAAAGACGGAAGAACTATGGAGGATAACTCCACGACTTTACAAGTGACTGATTCAACGAATTTAGCGGACGAACAAAGTCCACCCTCTAGAAAAATTAATTCGGGGAAATGAGATCTATGTTGGTAGCATGTCTAATCTAATAATAACCCACCAAAAATGTCAAAAAGTATACGTTCCCCACTTCTCCTTCTTCATCCTCATTTTTTTTAACTTCCCCCAACTCAATACGGCCCACAATCATGTATTCTTCATTATTGCCAAATTCCCTACCCCATATATATATACTCTTCAAGGAGGCTTATATTTTATACCAATTTTTTTCTTCTCTTTTTCTTCTTCTTTCCTTGGTTTCTTCATAGAGAGTATATGGAGAATTCCATGAATTCTATGAGCAAACCATTTGCATGTGATGGGTCTTCTCATTCTACTGAGGAGAGTGGTTGGACTATGTATTTTGATGATTTCTTTGCTAACAATATTAATTGTCATGTTGATGAGGGTGGTAGGCACGGGGAACACAGTTGTTTATCTTCTTATATCAATTGTGCTAGTTCTTCTATGCTCTCTGATGCTGCCTCTTCAGTTGCCGCCGGGAAGTTTGCCGGTGCTAGTGGTAATGAAAACCTTACTGGGGAGAACCCTAGGTTGGGTAAGACCTGCAAAAGGTTGACGTTCAGGAAGAGAAAAACCAAAGGAGCTTTTGTTGATGATGACTTGGAGGATACTGCCAGTTCTCCTGCTAATAGTCCCAAGGTTAGCACCACCCCCCTCCCACCCTTTTTTTTTTAAAAAAAAAATAGTCGTTTACCTTTTGAAGGTGATGATTTATTTCGAGGTACTTTTTTGCTACTTCCGTCCAAAAAGTACTTGTATTTATTGGATCACATTTTTGTTTTAATTTGTAGGTTTTTGATCAGCCGAAGAACTTCAACAAGGATGCAAAGCAGAACAATACAATGAACACATCTCATGTAAGGAATCAACTCAACTTTTTTCCCTTCAATTGTTTTCGGCTTGGGAATTATCTTTTTTATTACTATTATTAATTATTAACTAGATAAAAGTGTTCTTTATGTAGACCCGTAAAAAAAATGTAAAATTATTTATAAAATTATTTAAATACTTTAATAAATCACCTATACATATTTATTTATAGGGTTAGTGTTTATCCGCCTTATTTTCAAAAAATTAAGAGAAAAAATGATAAAAAATACCCTAATTTACATTTTACAAAAAGAATATTTTTAGTCTTTTTCAATAGACATTTATTAAAATAACATAATTTTAGAATAATATTTCTCTTAATCTTTAACAGATATGACAGATAAACACTGTTTTTTTTATTAATAATATTTAATTTTTTTCGTAGATGTTTTTGAACTTTTGTCAACAAGTTGAGCTGAAAATCCGCTATACTATCAAACTAATGATTTATTTTTCCTTGGAATTAATTATTATTTTGTAGGACAAAGCAAGCAGTTCAGGCCACACAGAGGAAAGAAATGAAGTGGATTATAATGAAAGAGATAATGATGATAATGAAATAAAGAAAAAGGGTCTTTGTCAATTTCCTTTGTCTATGGTAGTCAACTATCTTGGTTGAAACTTTGGCTATCTCCACCTCATCTGACCATCGCTTATTTTGTAGAAAAATCAATGCATGAACAAATTAAATATTTCTGTGCAAATATGATTTAGATGCCTGTCTCTGTAATATTCACATGATCTAAATATGTATCATGAAAAATGAACACAATCATAATTTAATTATATACCTAAGAGGTACCTATCATTATTAAATGATATGTAAATGGATTCTAACTGGTTAAGATATAATGAGGTTTTTACAACATTTACTAATGTAAAACCAATTTCAAGGAAAAACAAGTTCACGGGTATAGCATAACCAACAATTATAATTTCACTTATTTGTCTTGACAGACGTAATTTTCCTTTTCTTTTTTGGGAAGGTGATGTCCTTGCATTCGAATCATTCATGCATGAATGAAAATTATATTCATTACAAGAAAATAAGAGCAACACCCAAAGGCCTAAGAACCCATTGGGGCCTATTTTTTCTCAGGAATTTTCTCTAACAACTCTGGTATCACTTCAAAAAGATCACCCACGAGTCCATAATCAGCTACCTGCATTTCAAAGAGCATCATAAAAATGCACAATGTACATGGAACTAGTCCGGGACACCTGTCATGGGTTTATAGAAGGTAATATTGCAGAGAAAGTTTTGCGGAGCAGGAAAGCTGAATCTGAGCTAAACAACACTTGGTTTTGCAATTTGCATTCTAGTTCAAGACCATCAAGTATAAAATCAATGTGCTTGTTGAAACAATACAGATTCAACTTAAGCAGAAAACTATGGTAACCAATCACTGTTATGATTGTTATGATTATTATGATTATTTAGAATACTTGCTATCTAGATTCAATTCCCAGAAGCTTTTGATTGTTATCAAGTTATGGCATCTGTATAATCCAATCATAAACTCAAGCAGCCAATTAGTTTTATACTTGACCTAAAATTATAACTTACAAACTTATGAAGTCATAACTTAAATCTTTGCCTCCCTTTTGTGCCCGTTTGTGTTTGTATTATTGGTGCTACATATGTGTGTGTGCGTGTGTGTGTGTGAGGTGTTGCACCAGGTACCTGGAAAATGGGGGCATCTGCATCTTTGTTAACAGCAACAATAACTTTTGAATCTTTCATGCCAGCTAAATGTTGAATGGCTCCTGAAACACCAAATGCCATGTACAATTGAGGGGCTACAATTTTTCCAGTTTGACCAACCTGACAACAAAAGCAATCATGGATGATATCAGGCAGAAAAGCATGTAAAAAAGAGCAATATGATATGATAATTATAAAATACAATACTGCATACTCACTAATATAATGGCCTTTCAAGCCATTTCAAGACATTTCACATTTCATTCAATTGCATATATTGTATAGATAAACATTATAAAAGGATAAAACAACTCAGAAGGCAATGTTGTAAGAAGTTCCAGACAACTCTATGAAAGAGAAAGCAGTAATGTGCTCAAGCACTTAATGTTAATTGTTGTTTTGCATACTTGCACTCAAAATAGCTTAATTAACCATTTCTTCTATGGAATCCTTTCTATTTCTCCCGTTTTCTTGGCTGAAGAAAGGTGAGGGGGAAAATAACATATCAAACCAGATTTTTAATTCAAGGCAATCTATTTATAATGATGGTTTACCTGGAGGTCATTCGGAACAAATCCAGCATCAACAGCAGCTCGGGTAGCACCAACTGAACAAAAAAGAATGTCAAAATCACTAATGCAATACCATTATAACAAAAACAAAGTGTCATTACGTCTACTGCATATTTATAGAAGTTTAGGAAGAAAGACAGGGAGATCTTAAAATCTTCAAACATGAAAACTCAGTTGTAAGATCTTTAACTCCTCTAGGAATTTAAAAAGGTGAAACTCCTCTTCTTCAAAAAAACAAGAATAATAATTATGACAATTGAATGCAAGGACTATGAAAAAACATTTTCTACAAAGTCCAATGCAATAGAAGTATTAAGAATGATCTACCTGCAGCACCAAGTTTTTCTGCAAGCTTCTCTATCATTTTAAAGTTCTCTGCACTTTTTAATCCACGGCCTCCAGTGACCACAATTCGTGCACTCCCAAGATCAGGGCGCTCTGTATTCTCAGATGTAAGCTTTACATATCTAGATTTACCATTGGAATCTGCAATTATGACAAATGAACTAAGGTTAACACCATGGCCAAGACTCTAGATGCCAATTTAATATCTATGGGATAAATCTAACAAATTCTGAATTTTTTCAACATGATTAACCCCATGGCAGAAGAAACATACAGCAAGAACTCAGAGGAGAACCAAACAACCCCTTTTATTCCTTTCATTCCTCAAATACAAGAGGGAAAGGAAATGGAGTATGCCGGAAACTAAAGGTCAAAAGTATCTTGCCATTTCCCAAGAAAGGTCCATGGTAGGGATTAGCCAGCTTGGAAATGTAAGTGCATTAGAAAAAAGTAAACAGACCTTCACCAAAGGTTGAGAGATCAACCTGAGAAATAGGAGCTCCATTAGGTTTGGAATCAGCGGAGATGGGAGGAACTGGAAAAGAAGTTGTTCTAATGGTCAACATACACGGATTGGCACCACTATACCGTACTGTACAAAGTGCATTTCCAGCATAAATTGGCCTGAAGAATAAAACAAATATCTTAATCAGTTAAGAAATACTAAAAAGACACCAAAAGTATTGGAAACAAAAGCCTACCTGACAAATTGATGGGATCCAGAAATTTCAACAACATCAGTGATAGGAGAAACATCTAAAAGAGCAGCAGCACGGGGCAGAATGTTTTTCCCAAAGGAACCTGAGGTGGCAATGATGTGTGAATAGCCTCCTTGTTGCTGAACCAAATGCACTAACTTAGCCCATGGTTCAGCCAGAGGATACGTGAACTTATCTGAATCAGCTACAAGCACCTACAAAGAAAATAAAATGCTCCTATAATATTAAACCCACATAATTTCCATTCACAAGGCACTCTTAAAGTATTCAATACTCTTTTTTTTATCAGAAATTATAAATGCTACGAAGGAATTATAAAGCCAGATTATTCCTTACAGCAGAATCAGCATAAGAATCAGCATAAGAATCAGAAACATAACAAGCTATATCATTTCAGGGGAGGATTACCTGAGAAATGGAAGGATAACATGAGGCAGCCTGTGCTGCAGCTTGTTGAACCGCAGCACCGGAACCAGCCAACAACAAGGAAATCGAGTTATCCTGGCTCACAGACTGTGCAGCCACCACCGCACTCACCGACTGCGGCTTGAGTGATCCACCTTCGTGCTCGGCCAAGACCAACGTACTAACCTATTAATAAACAGGAAAAAAAAATATATATATATATATATTAATAATTTAACAAATGCAAGGAATCAAAAATTAAGGGGAAAAAGGATGATGGAGCCATACGGATCGAGAAAGGGAGGATTTGACGGGAAATCGAGAGGTAGAAGAAGGTAGATTGCGCCTCCACAGAGCTCTGAGTAGTGCCAGTGTCGCCATTTCTCCGGTTTCAGTTCTGACTTTCTGGGTTAGGGATTATTAGCTACAGATAATAAAAGGACGTCGCCGTTTTTCCCGTGCGGTTTGTATAGACGGTGCGTTTACGTGCAAGAAGCAAAGAGGCACTGCCGAAATATCTTCATCCTCCTCA